GGCATGTGAAATTTTTAGCGGCAATCATTGGTCGATTCGCCGTGTAAGAGAAATAGTAACGTAAACAAAACAAAGCAAATGTTGCCACCGGCGGAAAAGAAATACAGCCAAAATTTGGGAGCCACGCAAGAGAATTATATATAATAGATTATATGTAAGATTAAACTTGATGTTAACAATAATAATCTCTGCCTGACTACGTTGAAGTCTGCATATTTGATGGAATATATTTTAAAGATTGATCCTGTAATTCATGGGTCGCCAAACTTTTTTGATCATCGACCCCTATATAATTTTTCGAAATCTCCATCGACCCCCATAGAAGTAATTTTCTGTTAATTAAAATAAAACTCTATTAGATTCTATGTTTGTACATTTATTTTATGATTTTCAACATTTATTAATTTAATAGTACATTGTGTAACAATAGTTTTATGAAAAATATGTTAATGTTGAAATTTAAATACCTTAATATTTATTAAATAATAAGTAATTATAAATAAGTACAAAAAATAAGTAAAGTAACTACAGATTTATTGCTTATTAATTAATGAGATGGGTGTGCCTGGTGTTTTTCTGCAAGGTTCGCTGTATTGGGTTCAAAATTGGTCAATTTTAATCCTAAATCACCTCGAAACTCCACATTAAATTTATTTCTGTACTTAGTTAAGATTGAATTTACGTGACTTTAATTTTACTTGCCTAACAGTATTTTTCGAGTTTAGATAATAGTTACATCTTTTCCTTGCAGCCTTGTTTGGACATCATTAAATTTTCCAAATAAGTCCGATAAATAAAAAATATGGTTCTTATTGTTTTGGAGTTCATCACTCAGAACATTGTTTATTACGCTGAGAAATTCGGTCGTGGAGTCAAATTACTCAACGAGCCTTTGCAAGCATACACCTCAGGACAACCGGTCTCAACTTGTCAGTGAACAAATAAATACAAATTTCAAATAATCCTATGAATAATACCGACATTTTTTAGAATACTGAAGTTTCCATTTTTCAATTAGGGTTCTATAAATAAATTAAAAATAAATTAGTATAATATACAGACTAAACAACAACAAAACTATAGCACACTTAGTATTTTTTACGAAAATCGCAAAATTTTTGAAGATATTATTATTTTAATTTGATGTGTCTAGTTTAATTTCCAGTTAGTAACAAACAGCAATACAATAACATTATTGCTGTTTATTACTAACTGGAAATTAAATTAAACTTATTTCATACAAAATGTTTATTCTTAAGAACAGTCAAGGCATACATCAGATTAAAATATTAATCTTTTCAAAATTTTTGTTAAAAAAATACATAGTGTGCTATAGTTTTGTCGCGGGCTGTCTCATCCATATAATTAATGCTTACCTTCTTTTTTACATGTATTGATAATTAAAATTAATATCTAAACTAAACGAATCGAAACAATAACTAATTATCCAAAGCTATAAAAGTTTTAATAATGACACTGCAAATATTCAACACTGTTCACAGTTTGCAAAGATAGTTGAAACTGCGTATGATATTTTCGTTTGTAACGTCAATGTTCGTCACACGTGACATTTGGACAAGCGCATATGACTTATAAACCAGAAGTGCTGAGTTCGTGCCACTGCGCGCTGTTACGTAAATACTTGCTTCACCCGAATAAATATACGCTTATTAATTTATGTTCTATAAAGAAACTGATATTAAATTAATTAATCTCACAAACTTTAGATACTTAATTAGGTTTGTGTGATTTGTTGTTGAGCTGTTTTTTCTTCGACCTCGAATCGATCCTACCTAATTCGGATCGACCCCCAGTTTTGTTAAATAGACCCCTGGGGGTCTATAGAAACCACTTTGGCGACCTTTCCTGTAAGTTCTGCAACATATGTAAACCGTTATCTAATTTCTTGCTGCCCAACAAATGCAAGAGAGAGAAAGAAATAAAAATGTACACAGACCACAGATGACGTGCGATGCAACCACTTTTATAAGTACCGTACTAAAAGATTTTAGTGAGAGTGAATTGGTATTAAGCAAAACTAAAGGACATGATGGACATGGTCAGATCCTTTGATGTTGTATGGCATAAGAAAATCAAATTAAAAATAATCTCAGTCGCTTAGAAAGTTTTAAATAATTTGTGTGATGTTGAGTTACAAATGTTGTTTCATTTCAAATAATATCAATTAATATTAAGAAGAAAATATGTTGCAATAAAATTAATATTAATATAATTCATTAATAACAATATATTATGCTGTTAATAAATCTTATACTTTTATTTCGGACTATTTTTTTCCAACCAAAATTATTCGATATTAAAAAAACTAAATTTTTTAAAATGTTGGAAAATTTTTGCTTATTTACCTCCATAAGAAATAGGATCACTTTGTACCTGAATAAAATTTCAATCGGTTTTAAGGCGAATAACACATAAGACAAATTATTAAAACTTCTCTTCCATTGAGAATAAAGTTTTACCAGCTACTTTCGAAAAACAGCAGAAGTGATATATTTTCTAATATATTCAGTACAGTTGCATCTTAAAATATGCATATCCAAATGGAAAAATTAAATAATTGATTCCAATAATCAGACGAAAAATAATTAAAGAGTTATTCACTTTGTATTATGCTGTAAAAGTTGTTTCGATGTGGTATTATGAACGCAAATAAACGAGAGCAATTTTCATTGAATAGCACTTTATTTCAAAATAAATATATAGCGATTTTTTTTCTAATCAGAAAAAAGTACTTCTTTCTATTTTCACCATATGAACAGGCACCATACACTTTGATTCTATTAAATTCTATGGTCCCTACATTTTCAAAAAGCAGTAGTTTCCAAGATAGAGGCACTGTGGTTATGACTAGATTCTTTCGGCACAACAGTTTAGAAATAAACAGACTTTGCCTGAAGTGCCGTATAATATTACATACACACAATTTCATGTACATAAACAGGCAAAAGGAAAAGTGTTTTAAAAATTTATGCATAGGGCTAAACAATAATGTTTAAATAGATAGATACATACAAAAATACAAGTTGTTTATGTTAGTACATATGGTAGGAAAATACATATATCTTAAACCTTTTCATTGGTATTGAAATTGCAAGGCACCCTTTGAAATAGCATAAAAATATTAGCTCGACAGTATATGTGTGTTATGAAACGTTTACAATGGGCGGCTATATTAGTAACTACATTAATACGTTACATGTGACAATAGTATGTTACATGTTGAATGTATACACAATACAATTTGCTAACACGAATACGCAAGCACACATCCACATATGAATATAAAACAGTGAAATAAATATTAACAGTTTAAAAAAAAAAAAAAAACTAGCACTCAAGCTATTATTTTTACTCCCACCCTACTGTTAAAGAAATTTTTAATGTAAAGTTTATCCAAAATTATGCACACCTAACATGCTTCATCAGGCGCAAATGGGTTAAGACTAGAAAAATATATCTTAGTTTATATAAAAAATAAACATGAAATGTAGAATTAACATATGATACCGTATTCGTACTGATAACCATGGACGTCGTTGGTGTGTGGGGGGGGGGACTTCTCTACAATTAGATGCATCTCCCCCCCTGAATTTTTCAGAAAATTTTCATGAATTATCATCGGTTTGAATTCATCAAAGTTAGAAACGACAAAAAAATAATTTAGCAAATATAAGAATTTTTTATGTGTAAAAATTAATTAACTATTAGAATTTAGTCCCCCTCAAAAATCCCCCCCAGTGACGCCCATGCAGATAACATTAACATAGCGAAGCATTTTAGTGCAAGCCAGTATGCAACAGTTTAAATTTACCCTAAATTCCTCATATAAATGACGTTATGTTTTAATCTAATAAATTTTCTATTCTATTATTTCTACATTTATGCGATAAACTACTAAAAGTATAAAATCTCAGACGAAAATTATCTTTCTATCAGACTTAAATTCATCATTTTTACAGAAGCAGTCATTAAGACGTTGTTTTCAAAGAGAGAGTATATAAAATGTTGTATATTTATATAAAATCGTACTAGAAATTGATTTGAAGTAGCACCAAATCCTTATTATATGTTTTAAAATGTGCTGATCCCTGTGAGTAATATTTTGTCCGTGAAATTTTACAACCAAGAGACAGAAAACATTACAAAAAGAAAAAAAAAGAGAGACATTTAACACTTTTTTTTACAAGTTACATTTTGAAGGAGTATGTAAATGAAGGATGCATCTCTTTCCATATACCTTTCATGACATTAGTATTTACAATTTCAAAAAATAAGTCCAATGTTATAAGTTGAAAGTTCATATAAAGTACTAATTTGCTGCAAATTTAACAAGGCGTCAGCTTTTGTCCACGTTGAACCATACTAACTTGTTATCAATAAGAAGTAGTGCGATAATATGGTTCGACTTAGCCCCATACTAAGAATGCAGTAAATTTTAACAATATTATATTTTAACAAGTTTCAAAATAGCTTCAAGTGTGTACTAATCTAACTCCTGTAGTATACAAAGTATTAAAAAAAGGTTAAATTATTGATCAATAAAATATGGTTACAAAATACAGATATTTTACAAAATTTATTTACATCCTTCATATACTTACACCTTCATTAAAAACGTGATTTAGTACATTATGCACTAATATTTTTTTTCTAAATATTTATAAAATACATTATTACAGTTTCACAATGAAACAAACACTCTATCTTACACATTGCTTCCAACAGTAATTATTTTGTTTGCGCACTTCCAACAATTATGTCGAGTAATCCTAGCAAACTCTGTAGCATTTACAACCTTCAAGGAATAAGGAATCCCGTTCTCGGTTTAGATCTCCATAAATTATCTCAAGTCCAATGACAAATTTTCACAGATCCGCGAAAGGTGTCATGGTTTCAGTTTTCATCATCAACTAACACCACAGTCTTGATTGTTTCGAAGAACATGCTCCAACTCCACGAGTTGACCCATGAAATGTAGATTTGGTGATATGATGGGTCTTTTGTTCTTCACCATTTTGTAAGCATCCATCGAAGACATGTTAGTATGGTACATTAGGTAAGCAATTACGATCGTAGCAGAACGAGAGATTCCGGCTTGGCAGTGTACCAAGACGGCACTGTTCCGTTGTCGGGCTTCATCTGAAAGGAAATAAAGTACATCAGAAGGTTATTTAACTAAAACTGAAACTAATATAGGCTACAAATACTAATATTTAAACAGGGCGCAATAAATTAGAACGACAGTTTTAAACGATTAAAACAACTCTTTGCAACAAATTCATATGATAAGGCTCAAGTATTTCTCTTAGAGTTCCTGTTTCTAGTTCCAATTTTTTTTTAACAGATGACAGTGCAAGGAGTAAACTTGAACATTACGAATTTCCGAAATGTCCACCATTAGCCACAAGCACGTTTCGCAATTGGAGAACGAAATTGGGCTTCAAAATAAAGTAAAAAAAGCTGTTGAAGGGACTTGCAGCGCCATCTGGTGAAATTTCAATCAAAAAATTTATACCTGAAATTCTGGGGAGGGGGGAATTATGCCTGGTCACCTAAAATTGCTGTAAGAACTTTTTTTTTTCTTTCTTTCTAACCTTAACTGTTTTTTGTCCCAAATGTTTGTCTAACAGTCTATTTTTGCCAGTCTAATTTACACTGACAATCTGGTCATCCCTCATTATTAAATTTCTTTAGTGATAAAACTTTTAAAATAAATTGGACAATTTGCACTGCATCAGTTACCAATACTTTCCAAACAAGTTATATCGTTCAATAATGTGTGTCAAGTTAGCAATATATTGAAGTTAAACTAAATTTAATCGATAATGTAGTTTAATACGGTGAGGGAGTTTCAAATTTATAAACTTTTGTTATTAAATAATAATAAAAGTTTTTAAATTTAAAACTCCTTCACAGTATTAAACTACAATATCGATTAAATTTAGTTTAACTTCAGCATATTGCTTACCAGACACACATTATTGAACGATTTAACTTGTTTACGGGAAACTGTGGTGGACAGGTAAGATGGTTCACTTCGATGGTACCTTATAATGGTTGCTGCAAATCTGAATCGATAGTATGGTACAACGTTGAACCGTTTTATCTGTAACCGAATTTATGTACATTGACTGGATTGCTTTGCTATAAAATCTTCTGCTGTGTATCCAAAGAAAGATTTGCACGAATGTCTATCGATTTTGTTATCAGACTGCATCAAAAGTTGTTGATACAAAATGTTGGTTACCGTGAAAAAAATTATTCGATAATTTTTCTCAGTTAGTAATACCATCTGCTGATAAGTGTTGTAACTCATTTTGAATTTAGTAAAAATAGTCACTGGTTTCCGATGCAGAAAGCGGTAAACCATACAACACTTTCCGTTCATTCTTTGATTTTTCATATCATCAGTCGTTTTTATGAACAATCTGGCAAATAACAGAAACAAATTTGATTTATCGCCTTTCATGAAGTACTTACCAATAAAAGCAAAGGCTTTCTTGAAATATTGTTTGATATTTTGCTGGTAGGAATCCATAGCTGGTAAACGAAGGAACGCAAAGCCATGCTCATCGCAGTATCCGGGAACTTGGCTAGTGACATTGAGGACATAGCCGATACCCAATTCTTTTAGTCTGCAAACATCTTCGGCATCTTTGGCATTACCAACATACAAAAAAGGGAGGATTGCAGTGGCCTTTGTATTCTCCAAGTTGGATGGCAAATACTCAGAAGGACGATCTTCTTCGTTCATAGCTGGAGGGGACAGACAGGAATCACTTTGACTTTTGGAGAACTCTCGCCATCCACCTGAAGATAGAAAAAAAAGGTTCTGTTAATTTTAGAAGAATTAATCATGCGTATTTGTTTCTTCAAACTAGATATAAGAGTTTAAAGCAACCACAACGACTGCTAACCATAACGAATGTTTGCAAACAGAATATGCTTGCAAGCTGTAAACAAGCTGCTTGTAAACAACATATCATGATGGATGAGATAGGGGCTGCTTCACGGCCCAGGTGTCCAATTGAACCTCAATATTAGACTAGGACTAGTTATACGAGTGAATACTGATGATGAAACATTTGTGTTACCACTTTTGTTGTTTGATGTGGGTTTAATCGCAATCGATGTCAACTTAAAAATGCATTTAAAATGTATTATTTTAATCTAAACTAATAATTTAAAGTAAGAAAATTCAAGTATTTTGCAATTAGAGTAAAAATGTTAAAGTCATACTGAAACAAATTATTTCCTTGGCAAGCAATTAAGAGTTTCAAATACTACTATTTTTCTATTCTATTTTACTTCAAGTATTGTATAGTTGATGGGCGCTATATAATGAGAATTTTTTTTATACGTAAAAAGTGCCATTGAAACCTAGCCATTGGCTTTAATGTAAATACACACTTAATAATATTTTAACGTCTTTCGAAGTTCTCAAATTTGATTGTGTAAATGAAATTCGTTATACACTTATGTAAAATTCGGAAACTAATGATTATGTAACATACTGTTTGTAAATATCCGTTTACACGTAAGCAAAAGTTGCTTGAAAATTACTATAAATTATTTCTGTTCTAAGTAAATCACAGATAACACCGGAAATCATTCGTAATATTCCGGAAACTGTGACAAATATAATTTCCGAGATAATTCTTTGGTGTGTATTTTGTTTTACTTCTTTAGATTTTTTTCACACAATGCGAGTTAATTTTGAAATTAAATTTTTTTTCTTTTTAAATGACGCACAGATATCTTAAAAAATTCAATCAATTAATTTTAATATCAATATGTAGTAGAGTACACTACTACATATTGATAATAAATGTTGTACTACTACATATTGATACTCATTAACTAGTTTCCAAACCTTATCATCGTAGATAACATGAAAATATAAACTCTAACGTTCGTTAACAACACCAAATAGTTTCTAAATCTCACTAATAATTTGAAAATATCAACTCTAACATTGATAACATCATTAACTAGTTTCCAAATCTTACAATATGAAAATACCAACTCTAATGTTCATAACATCAAATTTTATACATATTGATAACATAAAATTTACAATTCTAATTCCATCAACTAGATTCCAGATTTTCGTTATCATCATTACTTTTTGAATCCCTTAAGTTTTTAAATTGTGTTAAACTAGCCTTCAGATTTTACATATGCGCATTTTATAAAGATAATGAAATATTGCATACATTTGTTAATTGCAACAGCTATTTAATTTGATTAAAAATGTTCGAACATAAATTTGCATAGAATCAGAATGATCTAATTCATTCTATATTTCAATCACTACAAAATACTTACACTTAATAATTAAATTAACGCATTTATAATGAAACTGTTAAATTAGATACGTTCATTCATTTTTTGTTACACTCACTCAAAACATGTAAATATCATATTTATTCGGGGGGGAAATGCAAAGTTAAACCTATTTACGGCTTATATACCTCAATCTTTGGAAGAGTGCATTGTTTGCTTTTTAAACTAGTATATATATTAGAAGTAATAGCAAAATTAAATATTCATTTCATTTTTAAAACTTTAGGCAGCATTTCATACCAACTTCTAATGTAATAGCTTTAATGGGGGAAAAAGAAAAAGAAATCATAGGAGCTTATTTAATGGATAGTCAATAATGTCATTTTCTCATCTCCTTTTATTTATTCAGTTGAGCTCTCCACTATTAACCCAGATGCCTCTGTAAAGTGAATCACCACAGAAAAATCCATTTTTTCCTCTCTTATGTTTTTGTTGCTTATTTTTAACTAAGAAGTTCTCATAAATTAATATTCTTGTTCTAATAATTTTACAAATGAAATACTAAAATATATAAAGAGGGTGATCATGTGGACCCCCTCTTTTTTCTCCCCCCAAAAAATCGGAGTCTGACACACACGGCGGGAATAGAACTGTCAACGTCAACCGTTGAATGACACACGGCCATGTGTATGACGTCATCAGGTGACATCACTAAATTTTTTTTCTTTTTTCTCCGGGACGTTCGTTCACATTTCGGCCGGAAAATTTGGCTCATTGTTTGATTATCCTCTTCCCCCATCATGCCCGTGTACACAGAAGTGATTTTTTTTTCTCGTTTTTCTATGAATTTTGCTCCCAAAATAAATGTTGAATTCACGTTGAGGTGAATGAGATGTTGTCACCCTCCTCTTGCGGAACAGATGCGTGCGCATATGCATAGGTGACTAATATTTTTTTCCTAGTGAGAAAGTGGCTTAAAAAAAACACACGAAATAGTTCCTTTTAACCATAAATCGTTTGCAACAAATTTAAGAGTGTCCGAGATGGATTATATTTTCTTCGCCCTCCCCCCATATCGTGTATTACATGAACATCACTTCCTAATTTATTAAGTTATTAATAAGTTATTGAAATATGTTTTTAATTTTACCAAATTTTGAGTTTGTAAGAAAATTTAAGAATTATTCCTTCCAACAATAAATCGTTTGCAACATATTTAATATTCTATTTTCTTCACCTCTCATATGGTGCGTTATGGGAATATGACTTTCCTATTAAGTTATTAATAAGTTTTTTGGAATATTTCATTTATCTAACGTAATTTTAATTTTTGAGCTTTTAAGAAATGATAAGAATAATTCAAAGATATAACAGAAGATTTAGTAATGTTCGAAAATGTTCAAAATATACTTACAACCTTAAAATTTGATAATTTTCATAAAATATATTTTAAAGAACAAAATGAAAAAAAAAAATTCTAAATTTATAAGTATGGAATTGGTATTCGTAAAGTTCTCCATTGGTTAACAGTGAGGGTGTAGAAATGAGAATGATATTAACATATTTGTACTACTACTTTAATTTTTTTCATTAAGAAACTTTTGATATCAATGCAATATTTGTGTTCGGGTATTAGTGAGTTAATATAAGTTTTAACTACTCATATTCACTTTTGCAAAAATATTTTCTATCGTATAACCAGAGAGCCTACTGTCTCAAACAAAAAAAAATCTCTTTTAGTGAATCTGTTAAATACCACTACTTTTGTTAAATCTAACTCCATATCTGCAGTATCAGATTTATTTATTAAAGTGTATCTAAAAAATTACTAAGCGCTCAAAAATCCTTGAACATCATCAGATTTCGAAAAAAGATCTTTTACACTAGCAGAGCTTAAAAATGCTTCTTAAGATAATGTGAACACTAATTTATTTAAAATATATGTTAATTATTATATTATATATGTTAATTATACATTAATTTCTAAGAGGTGATTTTTGATGTCAGTTTAGAGGTGGCTAAAGGTAAAAGGATCAAAAATATTTCGAAATGTTAAATAAACGATCTCGTAATAAATCTTAAAACGTGGATTGAATGAGGTAAATCATCTCAAAATCATCCAAGCAATTACGAAGGAGCTATCTTAGGGAATTTTACAAGTGCCGTGGAAATTCTCTGCGTAATTAATAGATAGGTTTTCCCCAAAAGTCAAAGAAGAAAGTACTTTTCCGGTGGCAAAGCAGCAGAAATAAAGAAAGGCTTAACAACAAAGATGTGCAGATGTGTTGCAACTTTACTGACACTGTGGCAACTTGTTGGGCAATATATCTCTCGCCATTGTTGATAAGATTCTTTGATTTTGTTATGATTACAATGGAAAGCACAAATTGGTGAAAGAATATGAAAGCTTTAGAGATTTTTTTCCCCATTTTGGAAATTCAATACTTTTATAAAACAGAAGAATTGTAATGCTTAATTATTTTTCACATTTACGATAATTCATTGTTACAATTTTTAAACTTAAAAAATGAGAATTAAAATAAAAAGGAAAATCCCTAATTGGTGAAAAGTCTTTATTTATTGTAAAATTAATTAAAACTCGCCTTATCCAAACTCCGTAATTACTTTTTAAAAGCATTAAAAAAATTTTTAAATTATTTATGAATACAAATAATGTTACATAATTTTAGCAATATATTTAAATTTAACTCTTTTGGTTACTGGCTTTAATTTTTTGTTTTGACAAGGAAACGACATTTTGAAGTAAATTGTTTGTGACTAAGGTATTTTTACAAAAGCCATATAGCCGAATTATATTACATTATAGCCGTATTAGGATATCTGCAATTTTTTATGAAAAAAAAATATAATCGAATTAAAAAGAAATATTATTGTTATTATATTACTTTTTATTGGTACTATTATTAAAATTATTTAATTCATCATTATTATTTGTGTAATATTTAAAAACTAAGTGCTAATAACTCTTTCAAAAAGCGGAGCAAGTTGGCATCTCCGTTAAAATCATCACAACACACTTAGTCTTTTACGTACATCATAAAACTATTTAAATGTTGTAGTAGTCAATACCAGCTTAACTTAAATGTTGAATTATAAAATTTGCTACCACTTTAAAAAAAAAAAATATTTACAGAGACCCCGACTACTACGGATTCTCCGTAGTTTCAGAAAATATTTTTTTCTAGGGGTAACAAGAGTTTATATTTTAATAAATTATAATTGAAAGAATCTTGTCCACCACTAAACACATATAATTTAAACAGAAATAATTAAATAAGGTCATCGAGACTAACTACGTATTAAGTTCTAATAGGTTTAAAAAAAAATAAAAAACTATCAGTTTCAAAAAATTCATTACCATTGAAAAAAATAAATAATTCGCAACAGTCTCAATTAGTTGAAGTCTCAGTATTGGTGAAAAATTTCTGACCAAAACCTTATAAGTTAGCTGATCTGATAATTCAATACACCTGTAAGTGGTTTACCCCACCCCCTCCTGACAT